ATATATATATGTGTGTGTGTGTGTGTGTGTGTGTGTGTGTGTGTGTGTGTGTGTGTGTGTGTGTGTGTGTCTCTGACATGAGGTATTATGATTACTTACATTATTCAGATTGTTATACTTATCTTCATTTCCATATTCGTAACGTTTCGGCCGTTGTACGCTCCGGCTTTCTTCAGGTGATTGTAATTTCGAAACAAACCCTTTCTTTATGTCAATATCAAACTTAACAGACATTCACTGTCTGTTATATTTAACAATACATACATATATATATATATATATATATATATATATATATATATATATATATATATATATATATGTATGGTGTCCATAGAGTTCGTGTGCACTTTAAAAGTTTATAACTTTAAAGTGCAAACGAATTTTATGGACACACTGACTATATATATATATATATATATATATATATATATATATATATATATATATATATATATATATATACGAATACAAGGTCTGTATAAAAGGAAATAAACTTCCAGTAACCAAAAACACTATTTTTTTAAGATGTTCTCAATACAGATTAGAGCGAATAATATTTATTTAAAAATAATAAGGTATGTAAAATATGTATGTTATGATATCACTAAGAAAAATAGCCATTTTGTTTCAACACTTCAGGTGTCTTGTCAAGGGATGGTGTTCCTAATGCAGGCTGACAAAGGGGGTGCCACAGTAATCTGGGGAATCAAAGAAAACATTAAAGAGGCCAACAATCAGCTAGCCGACAAAGAAACCTATAAAAGAATACCTTCAGATTCTCTTCCCGAATACCAAAAAGAATTAACTAGCTCACTAAACATAATGCTTCGCAAGAATCTAATCGACATGGAAACATGCACAACACTTACACCCACAAACATCACACCTGCTCGCTTCTATCTCTTTCCCAAAATACACAAAAGCAACAACCCAGGAAGGCCGGTCATTCAACTGCCACACGATCAAAATTTCCAAATATGTAGTAACAACATTTCAGGGGATAAGGTAATTCGTAATAAACCAAAAACAAAAAAAAAACAAAAATAAAACAGGATTTTCCCAACCATGTAACAACAAAAGGAGCTTATGCTGTAACCACATTAGACACATTCATTCACTAGCTCAGTTACTAAATCTACTTTCAAAATCTACCACGATTCTAACTGTAGAAGTTGTAACATAATTTATCTCCTAGAATGCAAACTATGCCAGAAACAATATGTAGGAAAATCTGAATGGCCCTTTCACTACAGAATTAATAATTATCGCAAACGAATTAAGTTGGCTTCCCATGAAAGATTATTACCTGTAGAACAACATTTCCGCCTGCAAAAACACGATTTTAAAACCCATGCCAAATTCACTATAATTAAGAAAATTGAAAAGTTCAGAGGAGATAACATTAGAAAAATTTTAGAATGCCATGAAGATAAGTGAATTCTGAGCCTAAAAACGCTCCATCCAGACGGGTTTAATCACAAATTTAAAAACAGATAGAATTAATATATAACCACACAAATCAAGACGTACTCACATTTCCCACCCACACAAGATAGACATACTTGCGGAGTTGTTGAGGCCTCGCTCTTATATACACACCCATACTAATACACTTACACACATGATACTTACTCACTCCCTAATGAGCCAAATGATAACACACACCCATACTAATATACACACTTACACACATTATACTCACTCCCTAAGAACCAAATAGCAAACACACACACTTAACAGTGACACATTCCCTTTCTAGGAACCAATAAAACTGTCAAAATGACGAAGGGAATTCAGAGCAGCATGAATCCATCCGGCTCTTATCTCAAATACCAACTTAAAAGAGACTGTTTGACCAACACAAAGGCTGACCGAAATTCATGTTAAAAAAAACCCCAAAAAACAAATGAAAACTACAGACAAAAGTTTATTTTCTTCATCAAGACATTCATTCCTGTAGTTCACTGCTACTAACAAGCAGATTTTTTTTCTCATGATTATGGCCATGTTGCCCAAAACTAGTCGAGGAATCTAACTGAAATAATAAAAACGAAAGAATATTAATAGTGTGTCTGAAGATTTTAATTTTTTAATACTTTATTGCTCAAAACACACACACACACACACACACATATATATATATATATATATATAAAGATAGATAGATAAATACATACATACATACAAATAATGTAGGTGTAAATATAAACCGTCTTTGTTCCGCGCTTTAAGCAATTATCAGAGCATAGTTTTTTCCGGCTTATCAACCCTTTGCATGTTATTTAAAGCCAGAAATATTTTTTATCTGTCTATATTTCCGAGATGAGGTATTATGTACACTATTTACGTTATATAGACTCTTATAGACTCGTGTGCTAATTAAACTAAGAGTAGACATCTTATATAAACACACACACACACACACACACACACACACACACACATATATATATATATATATATATATATATATATATATATATATATATATATATATATATTGCGTGCGTGTATTTTGGAAGCATGTTTTTCATTACGGCAGGTTTCTTTCATGGAATAATCTATATTAGGTTTGTCTGCTTATTTTCAAAAGAATTCTTTCATAATGTTGCGTGAGCGTTTTGGTGTCAGTATTAAAAGAAGTACGAAAATGTTCATGGTATTCTTTTATTCCGAGTACTTTCGACATTACCACACTTGTCATTTTCAGGGTATGTTCTTAAGACAAAAATGTAGCGTTCACTATTTCCAAAGACATAATTTCTATGTTCAACTGAAAGTTATAATTTTACGTGTGGGGTGAAAACCGCTAATTTTGTGCCACGCGGTGTATGGTGACACTCTAAGGGTGGTAACCAATTATGATATGTGAAGAGTTCTTTTTGAAGAAGAAGAAAATAGCGTGGGGTCTATAAATATAAACCTTGATATTTTACTTCTTCTATTGTAAACTTTTTAGAACATTTGAGCAGTATTCATAATTATTTTTTTAAGGTCCGGATTTAATTTTTTATATAGATAGTTTCAAGCATTTTTAATTTATGTTTGTTATTTTCATGAAAAATATGGATGTATTTTCGACAGGAAATTTTCTAAATTGCTAACGTAGATAAGAATGCAGTTGTAAATGTTTAGAAACTTTTGATGTATCATTCATACGAAAACTCATCGCCGAGACAACGCGGTCGTGGTATGACCCCCAAAAATATGAACGGATCCTACTGAAAATAAGCAGATAAAACTAAATTATTCAATGAAACTTACCTCATCACTAATTTTAATTCAATGACAACACTAAAATATTTCTACAAAATTACATATATATATATATATATATATATATATCAAATTACATTAGTGTTAGCATTGGATTAAAATATGCATACTTTTTTCTCGCTGGATCAATTACGACGGAATAGTGAGGTTGATCCTCACAGGGTGCCCTATACTCACGGCTTTGTGCCACATCTAAGCTACTCTTAGTAAATCCCTATGTATAGGCATACGCACAATTTGAATGAAATTGAGTCACGAGGGCAAGATTTTTGTTTCTCTCTGGCAACAACCCTTGGTTAACGTGGGGTAATTCTGAGCTGGGAATGTGTAACTCTTTCATATCATATTTATGATCCTTCAGTATTTAAACTATATATATATATATATATATATATATATATATATATATATATATATATATCTTGAATGGAAAACCGATTTTGATTTGAAATTAATTCATGGTTCGGTTTAGTTTGTTTTATTTTACGGCATATCAACATCAATGGGTCATTTAATGCCGACAGATTTTTTTTCTTGGTAATATTTTTGTTTTTTCAAAAATCTATTTCTGTTAATATTTTTTTTTCAAAAATGTATAGCAGGTAATATTATTTTTTCAAAAACATATAGCTGGTAATATTATTTTTATAGTGCTTTTTACCCCAGTTTCGGTGTTAACTATTTGCCCATAGCTGGGACCCTAACAGGTGCTACCACACCGAGTCAGGGTGGACCTGGGAACACCAGCAATTAAGAGGTGGTTCCACGCTCCTCATTACCTCCTGAACAAAGGCCTTACTGTTGGACATAGATTATCGTCTTTCCCAGAATGCGGATGTAGTTTACCGTCATACCCAGGACGCGGATGTAGTTTACCGTCATACCCAGGACACGGATGTAGTTTATCGTCATACCCAGGACACGGATGTAGTTTATCGTCTTATCCAGGACGCGAATGTAGTTTATCACCTTACCCAGGACGCAGATGTAGTTTATCGTCTTACCCAGGACGCGGATGTAGTTTATCGTCATACCCAGGACGCGGATGTAGTTTATTGTCATACCCAGGACGCGGATGTTGTTTTTCTTCATACACAGGACGCGGATGTAGTTCATAGCCATACCCAGGATGCGGATGTAGTTTATCGTCATACCCAGAACGCGGATCTAGTTTATCGTCTTACCCAGGACGCGGATGTAGTTTATCGTCATACCCAGAACGCGGATGTAGTTCATAGCCATACCCAGGATGCGGATGTAGTTTATAGTGATACCCAGGACGCGAAATTTACTCATGTTGCCGTCAGCGAATTGACAGTTACCAAACTAGTGCGAATAAAAGTTAATTTTGTAATATCAAGCTTTCAAACATACGTCTATTTGCTACTGTAATTTAATATTGTATCTGCCGCAACACAATCTTATTAATCTGAAGTATTCTGTGTATTATTTCATTTTCATATATTTTTAGCTCGCAGCTATTTTTTACTTTTGTATTAACTTGTATAGCTCTGTAATAGGAATTTTTGGTTAAGTGAATAAATCTTTCGGCATGGATTAGAGAATACAGACTATTCAGCTGCAGAGGTGACGGAACCAGACAATAGGGGTTACATTCCGAGTGGATGATCATAGATTCAAGTATAAATAAGACCAATGTCTACGTTTTGGGGGCTCGAGTTCAAACCTAATCTATATCTGCCCTTTTCACTCGGGTACAGATTTTCTCTTCACATTCTTTCTTTTTTCTTTCTTTCTTTCTTTTTTTCTTTCTTTCTTCACGTGCTTTTCTTTGCTCTTTCTTTCTCTTTTTCTTACTTTTACATCATTTTTCTGTCTTCCTTTTTCTTTCTTTCTTTCTTCACGTGGCTTTCGTTGTTCTTTCTTTCTATTTTCTTTTTTTTACATCATTTTTCTCTGCCTTCATTTTTTCTTTCTTTCTTCTCCTTTCTTTCATTCTTTCTTTTTTCACGTCGCGTTTCTTTGTTCTTTCTTTCATTTTCTTTCTTCTTTTACATCATTTTTTCTTTCTTTTTTCTTTCTTTCTTCGCGTAGCTTTTCTTTGTTCTTCCTTTCTTTTTTCTTCCTTTTTCATCATTTTTCTCTTCTTTCTTTCTTTCTTTCTTCATCTTTCTTTTTTTCATTCTTCATCTTTCTTTTTTTCTTTCTTTCTGTGACTTTTCTTTGTTCTTTCTTTCTTTTTCCTTTTAACATAATTTTTCTCTTACTTTTTTTCTTTTTTCCTTTTTCTTTCTTTACTTTTTTCTTTCTTCACGTGGCTTTTCTTTGTTTTTTCTTCCTATTTTCTTTCTTTTACATCATTTTTCTCTGCCTTCATTTTATCTTTCTTTCTTTTTTCCTCTTTCTTTCTTCATTCACATCGCTTTTCTTTGTTCTTTCTTTCTTTCTTTTTTTTCTTTCTTTTACATCGTTTTTCTCTTCCGTCTTTATTTATTTATTTCTATGCTTCACGTAGCTTTTCTTTGTTAATCCTTTCTTTTTTCTTCCTTTTACATCATTTTTCTCTTCCTTTTTCTTTCTTCCTTTTTCTTTCTTTACTTCATTCTTTCTTTCATTCTTCACGTGGCTTTTCTTTGGTCTTTCTTTCTATTTTCCTTCTTTTAGATCATTTTTCTCTGCCTTCATTTTTTTTCTTCTCTTTTCTTTCTTTCTTCTCTTTCCTTTCTTTCTTTGTTTTTTCTTCTCTTTTCTTTCTTTCTTCCTTCACATCGCTTTTATTTGTTCTTTTTTTCTATCTGTCTTTCTTTCTTTTGCATCTTTTTTCTCTCCCGTCTTTATTTATTTATTACTTTCTTTCTTTCTTCACGTAGCTCTTCTTCTTCTTCTTCTTCTTCTTCTTCTTCTTCTTCTTCTTCTTCTTCTTCTTCTTCTTACCCTTGTTCCACATGGTTTCATGCGAAACAAACGCTTGAGTCACAGACAACAATGCTTCTGATGGAATCGTCCTTCTGTATCAATCCAGTAAATTCCAATCGATTAACTTGAAGAATAAAAGCTGCGAATGCAACCATCTTAGCGCCTGTGGGGCATTGCTTAACCAGCTAATCTTCTGTGTCGTGAGTTCAAGCCTCTCTTAATGCTCTTCTTTATTTTACTGGTCTTATAGATTTCACTAAGTAACTCCACGAAATCGCTAAAAAATCAATATACCGCTTGAAACGTCATAAAAACACAGTTTTATCGTCAAAATCTTTGTTATTATTAAGAGAATGGATCAAAGTATTTTTTGAATATATATTTATTTTTATTTTTTTATTCCTTTTTAGAACATTCGAAATTTTGATTAAAAACATTTTTTTTTTTTTTTGCGGGGGCGGTTGTACTAACTTTTAGCGAAGCAAATTTTATTTTAGAATTATTTAAAATTTAATTTAGCCTCTTCGTTTGCGGTAACATTAATGTGGAAATTATTGCAAAAATCAAATAATTGTCGGATTTTAATGGAATTTTCAGGACTTAATCACAAGTGAATACGATTATTCTTGAAATTTTTTTATTAGAAAGTCTTGATAAAAATGTTTTTAACATAATAAAAATATTTTTTTTAAATTATTTTTAGAATATTTGTTAAAAAGATATTTTTTTATTTTATTGTTTTCTGGATTTTATCTAGGGATTTCTTAAAAAAAAAAAATCATACAAGGGCCTAGATTTCGTTTTCAGATTTTCAGTTAAGTGTTCCGAGATTCGAAGACGTATTCGGATGGCCAAGGACACATTCCAAAAGCTAGGCAGGGTATTACGAGACAGGAGAATTTCTTTGGTAACAAAGAAAAGAGTCATGAACTGCTACGTGACATCCATCCTCCTTTACGGCAGCGAATGTTGGACGGTCTCCTTGAAGATGATGAAGAGACTCGAGGTAGCGGAGGTATGGCTCTACAGAAGGATATCATGAACAGAGCGTGTGAGCAACGATGAGGTTTTGGAGAGGATGCAAACAAGGAGGAAGCTTATATTTAATATCAAGAAGAGGCAGTTAAAATTTCTGGGACACGCAATGAGAAAGGAAGGCCTGGAGAATCTGATACTCACAGGTCGAATAGAGAAAAAGCTTGTAAGCAACGTATGACATACCTAGCGAGCATAAGTAAGTAGATGACAGAACAAAGCCTGGGGTGGCAGAGGAACGAAACTTATTGAGAGCTGCAAGAGATAGGGTGAAGTGGAGAGCCATGATCGCCCACGACCTGAAAGGACATGGCAAATGAAGAGAAAGTTAAGTGTTCTAAAAGACCACTTAATCGACTGCAAAAAAATCCTTTAGAACCCGTTTTTCCGTTTTCGGGATTTCTAATATATATATATATATATATATATATATATATATATATATATAAAAGAGCCCAGATTTTGTTTTCTGGTTTTTAGTTAAGTGTTCCGAGATTCGAAGACGTATTGGGATGGCCAAAGTCGTATTCAAAAAGCTAGGCAGAGAATTACGAGACAGGAGGATTTCTTTGGTAACCAAGAAATGAGTACAGGACTGCTTAATTTTTCCGAAAACTTGAGAAATTCACTGAGATATTTTTAGTGACTAAATCATTAAAAGCAGAATTCTTTGAAGAATTTAAATCAACGATTTGTTTTTTCAAAAATTGAATCCTCTCTTATCGAAATTTTGTTCAGAATAGAATAATAAAAACCGCATTATAACTAAGACTTTATTTAATTACAAAAGCATTTAATTGCTTTTTATGAATAATATATATTTAAGACCAAATTGTCTGAAGAAAAATAAAATTTCGATGAAAAATGAATTTTTATAATTTTAAATTGAATAATTTATAAAGTTTTTAAATCTTTTAAAATTATTTTTCCATGTGATGTCTCTTACGAAATATTGTCTTTAAGGAAAAATATATTTACTAATCATTGTAAAGCTTATTAAAATCTCACGATCCTGAATATTTTAAAAAGAATTTCGATTTGTTTTTGTATATGTATATACGTGCAGAATTTCTGAAGTATGGATGATCAAACCTATCATTAAAAGATCACGTGTTTCCAGGCTTGTCCCAGCCTTCAAACACGTGACCTTTTAATGGGAAACATTTTTTTATATAAACTGTATTGTCTGCTCAACCATATTTAACTTTGAACAGGGCCGTTAATCCGCTGTCAATAAATGGATTAACACGTCAGAAAAACAAGACCCCGTAGTTAAGAAATGTTTGTATACAACTTTTTATGCTATAAGCAAGTAATATTTGTTCCAAATCAGATTGATTTAATTTTAATTTTGGTAATTTTCCTCAAATAACGTTTCAAAAATATTTTGTTTTTTACAAGATTTTTAAAACAGAGAAATATTTTTTTTTGTTTACAATTGTGTCAAATATGACCGTTTTGATCGATTTTACTGAAAAAATATCAATTCCGATCAATATAATTTCTGTTTGAAATACAACCACAGAGTATTTTGCTTACTGGAAATCGTAAATTTTAAATCCTTTAGCTTTCAATTAAAGCTAAAATGAAAGCTTCAAAAAGATTTTTCATTTTTAAAAAATCGTTTTAAACCTTACGTATAGCGAGTTAGTGGCAGTACCTAGATTTCTCCAATGAGATTTTCGTCTCCAATTTTAGTCACCAATGAGATTTTAGTGTATTTGCTAATGACTAAATTTTGTTTGTTTCTGGTAAGTAAATCAATAGTGTCGGTGTTTTTGTTGTTTTTTTTTCTTTTCCTGGAGTTAATTCATTTTGTTTATTAAGAAATTGTGTAATTGTTTTTCTTACCTACTTAAGATTTTTCACATTACGTAATAACATTTTGCTGAGATTCAAGATATTTACAATGGAATTGTTTTTCATTCATGATGATAAAGTCACTAAGACGGAAAGTTACTGAGAGTGAAAGAAAACGTTATTGAGTAGAAAGGACAATAAGTGAACAATATTCAAACGACAGGAGCGTTACATTTAAATTTTAAAATTCTTTTACCTTTGCGATTGTATTAAAAGAAATTGTGGCATTTACAAGAAAGAAAATTAGAAAGAAAGAATTTAAGAAAAAAGAAATTGTAGCATTTACAAAAAAGAAAGAAAGAAAGAAAGAAAGAAGGAAAGAAAAATGAAAGAAATTGTAGCTTTTATAAGAAAGAAAGAAAGAAAGAAAGAAAGAAAGAAAGAGAAAAGAGAGAGAAAAAGAAAGAAACTGTAGCTTTTATAAGAAAGAAAGAAAGAAAGAAAGAAAGAAAGAAAGAAAGAAAGAAAGAAAGAAAGAAAAAAAAAGAAAGGAAGAAGAAAGGAAGAAAGAGAAAGGGAAAGAAAGAAAGAAAGAAAGAGAGAGAGAAAGAAAGAAAAGAAAGAAAAAAGGAAGGAAGAAAGGAAGAAAGAGAAAAAGAAAGAAAGAAAGAAAGAAAAGAAAGAAAGAAAGAAAGAAAAGAAAGAAAGGAAGGAAGAATGAAAGCAAGAAAGAAAGAAAGAGAAAAAGAAAGAAAGAAAGAAAGAAAGAAAAAAGAAAGAAATTGTAGCTTTTATAAGAAAGAAAGAAAGAAAGAAAGAAAGGAAGGAAGGAAGAAAGGAAGAAAGCGAAAAAGAAAGAAAGAAACAGACAAACAAAGAATAAAGACATTAAGAGGGAGAAAAAAGTGAAAGAAAGAACATGAAAGAAAGAAAGAGAAAAAAGAAAGAAAGAAATTGTAGGTTTTATAAGAAAGAAAGAAGGAAAGAAAGAAAAGAAAAGAAAAGAAAAAATAGAGGAACGAAGAAAGAAAGAAACAATACGCTTGTAACTCTAAATATGGGTGACAAGTTCATTTCACAATCATTTGCTGAAACACGATCCCTGGTGTCTTTAGCATCGAAGTGTTTGATAGGAAAGCGCCCTTTTTTTCTTTTCTTTTTTTTATTGGCCTCACCTTTTAATTTCCTTTCGTCTTTCAATTTCTTTTGTTGAGGTACACTCAATTTAATTTAAAACAATTTTGTTCCATTTTCTTTCATTTTTCGTTTTGTTGAAATTAGAGAAACGATGGCAAGTGGGGACGACATGAAGCCTTAACATGGCTTGCAATGGCGGGTAACAATATCGGAAGTGTGAATAAAGAATTATGGCGTGAATTAGAATGACGCTTTGCTCCGTTGAATTCGAAGGGGTCAGAATGAAGGAGAATATTTTTCAAAACCTAAGCCGCTTAACAAGAATTTTTTTTATATATATAATTAGAGATTGAAGGCTGTCCTGGAATTAAATAACATTTTCTTAATATCACTGTCGTTATTAATATACTCCTTGATTAACAGAAAATAATTTTTGTCATTAAGAAGAGTACTTAAACGGTAGACAGATCATTTACCGACCGTTCATTCAACATTCTAAACGATGACTTACAAGTAATCGACAGCTCTATACACGTTTTTCTGTTTTCTGGATTTTACCTAGGAATTTCTAAAAAAAGATCATACAAGGGCACAGATTTTGTTGTCTGATTTTTAGTTAAGTGTTCCTAGATCTGAACACGTATTGGGATAACCAAACACGTATTCCAAAAGCTACGCAGAGTATTACGAGACAGGAGAATTTCTTTGATAACAAAGAAAAGAGTCCTGAATTGTTACGTTGATATCTGTCCTCCTTTACGGCAGCGAATGTTGGACGGTCTCCTCAAAGCTGAAGAAGAGACTCGAGGCAGCGGAGGTGTGGCTCTACAGAAGGATGCTGAGGATATCATGGACCGAGCGAGTGAGCAACGATGAGGTTTTGGAGACAAGGAGGAAGCTTATACTTAACATCAAGAAGAGGCAGCTAAAATTTCTGGGACACGTAATGAGAAAGGAGGGCCTGGAGAATCTGATACTCACAGGGCTAATTAAGAGAAAGAGAAAGAGTGATTAGGGAAAGCAACGCATGACATAACTAGCGGGCTTAAGTAAGTGGATGACAGAACAAGGCCTGGGGGAGGTGACAGAGGGACGAAACTTATTGAG